TTTCCTTGAGTGTTAGTGGAAATGTATGATGATGGATCAGTGTTGCTGGGAAATGTTTATTATTTTTTGCCACTGTTTATTAGACTGTGGAGGCGGCCTGCTATTCGCACTCCAGGAGCTGCTTGTCGAGAGCATTCTGACCTGACCTATGTCTTGCATGCTTCTGCTCCTTCTGCTGCAGCTTGGTGCGTTCTTCAGTGCGCTGCATGGGGCAGATGTCGTCTCCACGGTGCGCATTCGCCTCACCAATCAAGCACTGCAGTTTTTCAACAAAATTGGACATCACATCGTATGTTTTCTTTCAGTCTTCTGCGGGCCATTTTCCTTCCCGCGATAGGCTCCGTTTTTTTAAATTTGTCTAAACCCTTATGGATACGTTTTTCCCATTTAAACCCGCCTTTTAATCTGCTATAAAGCCATTTCTAAATCTTTTTTTGTTTTTTAGCAAGACTCACAAGACGGCAACATCAATCAGGTGTCCGGCATGTCTGTGCGGTAAATTGTCCCAAGAGTACTAGAGGTGAATACACGATGGAAGAAGTAGAATTGAATTTTTTTTGTCTTGTCAATATTTGGATACATCGCACGTGCCTAAACTTTGCAACTCGATTCTCGATTTGGCCTAATGTGAACATTGTGGCTTAGGTCAAAAAACAATGAAGTTCAAAAGTTCAACCATCTATTTTGAAATTTTTCCATGCTTGTGCCACAGCATCGGTCTAGCTAGATCTGAAGTTCATTTGTCTGCGAGCGAGTGCCTAATACCTGTAATGTGACAAACTGTTATCGCTATTATCATTATGAATAGGCTTGGTAGTGTAGGCAGTGCGCATAATTTACATGTACAATTGAAAATTTCAGGTTGATTACGAAATTTGGAAAATAACATTTCCCGCAATAACACTCCCAATTGAGGGTGGACCAGGTACCGGTGAGGTGAATGTAACCGAGCTCAACATACGAGCTTTCGAATCACCCAAATTTTCATTCAAATTTGCACCACCAAACGGAATTGCATGGAATTCAAGCGGCGGTTCTGCAAAAATTCTTGGGGACTGGCATGCTGTTTACAACGTTGTCGTACCGGTCAGTTCTTTACCAAAAATACATTGCATGTCGCTTTGTATGTACTGCAGATGTGGCTTAATGACTGCAGTGACGATATTGATCATGATGGTATATGATCATAACGATCATAATGACACATGATGATATCTGATGATAAACGATCGTAATGATACTGACTTAATAGTGACGGCAGTAATGATTATGATGATGACAGCTGGAAAATTCGAATGCCGGCGAGAGGCAGTGCAGGCTAAAAAGTAATAGAAATGATAGCAGAATGAGGGGAACAATTTAATCAGAAACAATGCCTGGTTATGGAAAGGACTTAATTGAACTGTGCTGAATCATTGGGTTATCCACCAACACTGGTGCGATTAGCTTCAGTGGTAGCTCTGTTAAGGTCAGACATATTAAGCCGTTTAGTGCCAGCAAATAATAAGACCTGAAAAATTCACTGTTGCAGATTTACCTATCAGGTTACGTGAAAGCGAAGGCGAATGACATCCGCGTGTATATGCAAACCAATGTGCTAGTTCGTGATGAGCGACCTCAGATCGAAGTCACTGACTGCGTGATGGATGTGGATCATCTTGATGTGAGTATCGGCGGCGGAGTCATACCCTGGATTGTTAATTTGTTCCGGGCACAGCTAGCTGTTAT